TGCTTGTTTTCCATACTATGAATTTTTACCACCTTTTTATGGCTCCGCACATGCTGTAAAACGGAATCTGACAGGGCATGGTCTGTGCACCTCTGCTCATAAACAGCCTTATTACAGGTGAGCGCCGGAAAAGTGTGCGCAGTGAAGCATCCCCTGCCTCTGCATTCCTTTGAAGCTCCCGTGGAGGAGGCATCCGGGCAGTGATCACGTGTTTAAGCCTTGGGGATCTTGATTGTTGGGGGTTCATCCCTTGAGATAGTCCTTGGCCTAAAATTTTGCTGATTTGCAGCAAACCAGTTTCTCTTTCAGAGGCCGTGAAAGATGGCCCACTAAGTGCTCTGCCAAGTAGGTCCCGAGCTCTGTATGGCGTCCCTCCTTGTCTAGCTGTCTAGAGCAGCGGTGGGTGCCCCACAGCTCGTGCCCCCTCCCCACTGAGCACTCCCACGGTTGCACGGCTGAAACTTGTGTTGGTGAGGGGCAAACTGGAATTGCCACCAAAATTTGCACTGTAAATCAATGACCTCTTTGCTGCTGGCAGGAGCAGAAGAGCAGCTTCCTCTGGGGTAAGGGGTTGGACATAAAACCAGCTCACTCAGCTCTCCAAGTTGCCAGCCCTTGAATCCGGAGTCCCGTTGTGTGGAACGTGGCATCAGGAAGAGAGAATCCCACAGGGCTGGAAGGCTTGGGAACATGCTGCTCTGGCGTGGTCCCACAATGAAGTTAGTCAAAGGTCGTGCATGGCTTGAAACGACCCAGTCAGACGTGGATTCCAAGCATCTCAATGAAAATCATTTTGTCCCTGCAGCCCTGCCCCGCCCCGCCCCACCCCACCCAGGCTGGCCCCCAGCACCTTCCTGGTTTAAAATAAACCCTTTATTTCCCATGACCATTCCCTCTTCCTTTCCCTTTGCCCATGGACTTCCTCAGGAAAAAAGGGCAAGTCCAGGAGTGGAAAGATACCCTGTGGTCTCATGGAACTGCAGGTGGGCACTTTCCCCTTGCAGGCCGTTGCTCATTCTCATGAAAGGGTGGGCTGCTCCGTGCTGGACAAGGCAGGGTACGCAGAAGCAGGCCTGTTGCCACGGATGCTGTTTCTAGGGGCCGGAGCAGGCAGGGCTCAAGCACATTGCCCAAGGACTAAACTGTAGGTGGGCCTCCTGCCTTTGTCCACTTGCTACTTTAGAATTCAGCCTTACAAGGCAGGGAACAGTACCCAAAAATCAGTGTCCGCCCCCCGGCCAGAAGATGGAAAACCTCAAACTGGTGGTCAAAAGCAGGCGCATTCTACCTAACCAGCAGTACTTTTGGGGAAGCACCCTGGTTGCTTGGGGCAAAAAACATTTTCCTGGCTTTACAGCACAAGCTGTGTTTCTTAAATGGGATCAGCTTGCCCCAGCATAAGGTCGTGTTAAGAGGAGAAAATTGAACCCGTTGGATAAATAAACACATTTCCCCCTGGAGTTCTTACGTGGTTAAAAAAATCAAAACCCCCAGCACTTTAAGCTACGATTCCCCTTCTGCAACTGCAGAACATCCACTAAAAGGGCGTGTTTGAGACCCTTTGGAGGTGAAGACTAAATCTTCTCAGCTGATGCTCATGTTTGGGTACAGCGACAGTCAGCCTCTGCCCACTTCTTAATTTTCGATTACATTCCTTTATATTTTCTGCAATATAATTCATTGGGAAACTGTTGAGAGCCAAGTCCTTTGCATTCTTAGATCCTGTTTCTTAATTTCAGATTCTGAGTCTTAATTTCAGAATCTGTATCCCTTCGCCCACCCATACAACTCAGTGGAGAGCTGACTCAGGCCCTATATGCATGATTCCATCCCTTCATTTGCATATTGGCATTCTTGGTCTCAGATGGCAATTTATATACTTTCTCCATAGAACTGAATGGGAAGCCAAGATGAGCTGACCCAGTTTCCACTTCTGGTGTGAAGCTCTGGCATGATGGAATTAGCTGACCTTCTGTATAATGATGACTCTTACCATTGGGGCGTGTCTTGTTGCTTGTGGCGATTGCCACGAATTCATGAAAAAATCTTTGTCCTCTGAGATTATCCTGAAATGTCTTGATGAATTTATGTCAAGGATTCCTTAAAGTTGTTAGCTTATTTAAAAAAAAGTTTAAACTGTTCTTCCAGTTCTAAGTATAATAATAAAAATAATAATCAGCTGCAGTACAGTAAACAAACGAAGCAACCACCCAAAGGTATCTTCCAAACACCAGCGCAAACAAGCAGGTCTCCCAGCCGTTGCAAAAAGAATTTAAACAGACATCTATCATTGCTTCTACAGCAGCTGGTGCCCTCCAGAAATGCTGGACTTCAGCTCCCATCATTCCTGGCCAACATGGCCATTGGGTAAGGCCCTTCCTTGGGAATGGTACCAGACTGGGGAAGGCTGCTTTTCAGGCCAATAAGTGCTGTCACTTTGGAAAACCTAGTTGGCTATTGTCCCCTACACACACACAACACACAGAAAGAGCAAGGGAGCTCGAGCGCTTTATTTCAAGGGTAATTGACATGTTTGGCAGGGACAAGTCTGTGTGTACAGCTGTCCCAGTGAAAAGAGCCTCTTTTGCGCTTAGTATTAAATGTTTTAAAAGTCATGCAACACTGCAGAATGCACAGATAACACTGCTTCTTGTTAGGTCTGTACTGCCTGCAAACCTGCTAAAGCCAAATCCAGCAGAGTTAAGCTCAAGCAGGCACGATGCTGTATCTGGGGAACGGAACATTCTTCCCATGGTGGTGGTGGTGGTGGTTGTTGTTTTTAAGGGGAGAGAGAATTCGCATCTGTAAATCATCTCTGATGTGAAATTCTTACATAGACAGCCCTCTAGAAGCGTGTCCGTGCCAAACTTCAGTGCTTGGAGCTTTATAGAAGATCTGTGTCAACCAAAAATTAACATCTGGAGTCTTTTTTCTAGATCTGGTGCCTTCCAAATGGGCTACAATTCTCATGAACTTTGACCATTGGCAAAGCTGCCTGGCGCTGATGGGAGTTGTAATTCAACGCATCTGGAGGGTGGAAGCTGGGGAAAGGAAGTTTGTGCATTCTTGTACTGGCAGGGGTCACTTGCTTAAAAGATAACATTGCATCCCTGACTGGGGCGATCCCTGGTCTACCTGGAGTAAAGGAGCAGAAGAGTGCTCCTTGTCATACTTTCGCTATTGGATGCACATTTGGTGGGACATGACGGGGCCTTCTCAGTGACCGCTCCCAGGCTTTGGAACTCCACCCCAAGGGAGGCTAAATTGGCTGCCCCCCTGCTGTCCTTTAGCTACCAGGCAAAGGTGTTTTTGTCAAATGGGCCTTGGGGGGCAGATGCTGTAATTGTGGCTTCTTTCCTTGGTAGTTGCACTTGTAATTGTACTGATAGCTTGCTCGTTTTAGGACACACTGCCGCGGCCCTCTGGAAGCCATTTAGACAGCCATGGGATGAATAGGCAGCCCAGCACCAGCCTTGGGAACCCAGACCAGGGATGCCAACCAGCGAGTGCCCAGACTGCAGAGCGACACCTACAAAAAGGGCCCTTCTGGTCATCACCCGCCTTACTGTTGAATGCCGTTCTTTGATGCAAAGTGGGATATAAATCACACTTTGAAGAAAGGCTGAGTGCATAGTATTGAAAGCTTCAGACCCCTTGTCCACTCCAAACAAAGGAGGCTGGTTTTGGCTTGGTTGTCTGTTTATTTTCTACATGAATTGGCTCAGAACCAGTTGCAAACTATGCACCAAACTGTATGGATGGCACACTGAAAAAAGGAAAAAATATCTGTGTCCAGGTTGGTTGAATCCCATGTGAGGAAAAAAATCAGGTCTATAACCTGGATAAATTATGCCATGTGAGCAAATGTACCCAATTTGCATACATTCTATCATTTTTAGAAGTCTGTTATGTATACGGTATTTTTGGCTTTGTTGATCATGGAGAGAAGTAAGAAAATCCTTGGAAGTTTTTATTCAGCCAATAAATTCTTTCATTGGTTATAAGGACTAGAAACTTGGCTTCTATTATAAATAAAACTGGAATCTTGAGGAAAGAGGAGTCTGCGTCTAGTGGTGTGCTTTTGTTTGCCATGCCCCTGCACTGTTTGCAACACAGATGCAAACAGTACGCTTGTTTTGCACACTGGCTTTTGGCTGCTGCTGCCCGTTGGGGGAGGGATTGCTGCCCCTTTTACAAGCCATTTTTGATGGATGAGATTTTGCTGCTTGCGAGAGATGACAAACTAACCGCCTCTTCTTTCCTGCCCTTATTCAACAACACCCACTTCTTCAGTCCCCTCCCCAGTGTTATTACGGGAGGATATTGATTTTTAAAACTGTACGGGAGGGGGGAAAGATGCTGTAATTGTATATTAGATATTTTGCGTTGGCTCACTAGGACGGCAGGAATAGAGGCAGAGTGCTTTCCGTGGCAGTCTAGAGGGGAGAAGGAGGAGGTTTTGGGATCACCCAGAGAACGGGGAGGGGGGAGAGGCGCGTCTGCGAAGGAAGATTGAGGAGCTGCCCACTTGTGTGTGTAGGGACGATTCCTCTTCCTCTTTTTTCCTCTCCCCCCACTCACTCCCACCCGCCAAGACCCCAGCTGCTTTGCATCAGGGCATGAAAAGCAAGGACACGCCCGAGGGACGAGAGGCAGCCGATCAAATGATGCAGTTCAGTAAGGATATAAACTAGATTTCCAAAAATTTATGGCTGTAAACGGTGGCCATTGATCAGTGCGTTGAAAGGTTGCGGTGTCCCTTTGGGGGCTGCATGATTAGGAAAGCATATCTGAGTGCTCAAAATGACTTCCCCTCCACCCCCCACCCTCGCTCCCTCCCTCGCTCCCCTTTCCCTGCTCAGCCAGTGTGTGTGTGTGTGTGTGTGTGCGTGCAAAATTTCCCCAAACTCTCTGGATAAAGGTTGAGGGAAGCGATTCTGCCTTCTTATCTAATTCTTTTCCTCTTGTTTCGCCCTCCTCCCCAACCCTCTTTCTTCCAGATGAAGTTTTAGGTAAGAGACGAGCGTGTTCACCCAACAGCAACAGCGAGTGCCCCCTCGAAAGCAAGAAGTCCCGAAGTGAGTCCCCAAAAGGTAGGAGCATTTTAAAAAAATGTCTTCTAGTTTCTGAGGCATAGGACATTTGACATTTGTGATGGGGAAGGCAAGTGGGGGGCGCAGGATGTTTGAGGCACACTGCTGAGTTGCCTTTCCAAAAGGCTCAGCGGATTCTTTCTTTCTAAGCCCAGGCGATGCACAGCGTTCCTTAATTAGAATTTCTCTATACTTGACCCTCAGTAACATCTGGGAAAGTTTCTGCTTTTTAATACTGAAACCTCATTCTATAATGTTTTGTATCTGTTCCTTTTTTTGCCTGATAGTTACAATTAGCAAAAGAACTGTGCCTCATTTCCTTCCGGGCCATTTGCTTCCTTCCTCCCCACTCTCCACACCAGGTTTTGAATTTTTAAATTTACATACTGTGATGAGTATGCAGAGAACAACTTTAGTTCTAGGAAAGGGCTTTGTCATGGGCAGCAGCGGGCTGTGATTTTTCTCCTCCTTCCTCGGTCTTCCAAAAGCCACACACACTTGTGCCTTATCACAAGCTGTGCTCAAAATGCTTGTGCAGTCCAAAAGCAGTGTGGCGTACAGTGCATGAGAGGGAGAGCGCAACGCAGATGAGGGTATGCGGGTACGGCTGTATGCGAGAAACAAGAAGACAAACCCAAATCAGAGCCCTCCTGGGCATGCCGAATGTTTTCCCAGCCATCGGATTATTTTAAGCTCTGTGGCTTCTTTCTATTCCTCTGCTTCCCTCCTCTCAAGCTAACAAACAAACAAAACCCTTCCTTATGGCCACTGTTGGGAGAGTGATGAGATCGCACTATATGGGGCTGGTGCAGAAAGCAGGGATGGGAAAGGCTGGATTGTGATGAGTTTACAAGCTGAAGAAACTCCTGGGAGTGAAAAGGGGGGTAACTGCTGAAAAGCGGGATGCAGGAAGTTGCCTTGTATCAGTTTGGGCTGTTCACTGGCCCATGCTGACTGGCAGAGGTGTTCTGGGAGCTGCAGTGGAGGAACAACACCAGAAAGTCCTGTGGAACCTTAAAGACAGCCACAATGTATGAATGACATGAGCTTCCATGGGCAACAGCCAACCTTGTCAAATGCAGGCACTGGGGTAGTGAAGCCAGGGCTTTTTTATCAGCAGGGACGCTGATGTCATGGGTCAACCCCTTCCAGTTTCTCTGCTGCATCCGAACTTTGCTGTATCCTTCACAGTAGCTGGATTTTCTTAGCAACAAGATACAGTTCCGTGAGCTCTCCGTGTTGTAACGCGAAACCTTTTGGACTGGTGTGGACAAGTCCTGCCGCTGGTAGAAAGCAGCTAGAACGGCTTTGCCGGTGTGTATCGACGACGCAGATGCTGGCCAGTTGGGGCTGTCCCTCGAGGCATAGCCGTAGGGCCTGTCATGGTGACTGCTTGCACCACAAAGGTAGCCGCATCTTGCGCTGCATCCAGGCTGCAGTCTGTGGAAAGCCATGCCAGGATAGAAAGGTGCTCATTTTTAAAGCACTGGGGGATGCTGTCATTTTGGCTGTCATAGGTGCGCACAACTAATTCTCTGGAAACAGGCGGTGTCTTCTAGCAGATACTTGGAGATGGTTGGTGCTTCCAAGCAGGGCTTGGGGACGCTCCAACTCTGGGGACCCTGATCAAGGAGCTGGCTGGACTAGATGGCCCTCCGCAAAACCATGGGATCCCATGAAAACAGATGATGTCATCCACTCTGGCCCAGCCTCCCTGAAAAGCACGGCTTTGCTCCAACACAAAGCCTCCTTCCGTATTTTAGAAAAACTAGGAAATGTATGTATGTAGAAAATTAAGCAAGGCCTGCTTGCCAGTTTGTTGAACTGCAGCTTGCATTGGCCAAGCTGGCTGGGAAGGATGGGAATTGCAGTCCCATCACATGGAGGGGGAGCAAATTGGGGGAGGGTGAAGTAGGAGGCTCACTAGGCTCTCTGTTTGCGAGGCTCTCGGCTTCTTAGAGGTTCTGTGGTTTTAAAGTTCAAACTAATTAGCAATCTGTAACAGTCACACTGAATCGCTTGAGTGGCATTTGGCTTGACAGGCCCATGCAGTCAAAAAAGTCTGCCAGAAGCGTTGCTGCGTGCATAGGAAGCAGCACGAAGCCGGCCTGGGCCCCGTCCTTTAGCCCTGCCCTGCCTGCCGTTCCAGACTTCTTCTCCGGGCTCTGAAGAATGTCAGTTTATGCCACATACCTTGCGCCTCACACTCCTCCTACACATGCCGCATTTAGGCCTGTCTCGTTCTCTCAGAAACCTGGCTGTGTAATCTAAGAGTGCCTCCTGTTTTGTTTGCAAATTTTGTTTCATAACATTCCAGAACAGTACAGTGCAGGTTCTCGGCACACATTCTTGTCCACACGGGTGAAGTCCTATACAAACCCTTCCCTTGCCCCAACCCACCTCTCTGTTTCCTGCCCTTTTTTCCTTCAGCGCCGCTGCCTCCTCCTTGGAGTTGCAATTAGACAGACATCAATATGCCAATAGAGCTCCAGGTAGGATGCTGAAATGCATTTTGCTACCAGAGACACCAGCTTATCGGAGGGGACCGAAGTGGTCTTAACCTGTAAAATGCTGCCTTGCAACAGTTCTAGTATTCTCTTAATATGCTAGCTGTATCCACCTGCAAGCTGTCTCTGACACCCCCTCCCGTTTCTTTTCCCCCTCCCCCCCCGCCACCACTGCATCCTCTGAAAAATTAATCAAGGTGATAGCAGTTTAATCCATCTCTTGGAGAAGGGAGCTAAGCTTTAATCAGGCTTTCCCGAGACCTGACTATCTATCGCTTTGGAATCAATGCTGTTTATTCCAAACTCCAAAGAAAGCCCCCACTTCCCCCCTGCCCCTGTTGTTGCACAGACTGACGTCCTTCTTTCTCTTCCTGCCCTCCACCCAGCCTCTCAGCCCACCATATACTTTTCCAGTTTCACGGCAGTTTCAGGCCAAAGCAACAGATTATCTAATCAGACTTGAAATCAGTCTGAACAATCTTCATGCTTCCGCTTATCTGCAGAGGTTTCAGTGAAATAGATTCTGGGAATTTTCTTCTGGGTCAGGCTGGTTAGTGACCCCGAACGGGTCCTCTTTTCTTGCTCTTTTGCATTTAGCATTCAGCTGTGGCATTTGGCTTAGGCTGCCTCACCTTGGAGCGCTCCGTGACTGGCTGCTTATTCCCCTTCCTCTGCCTTGGGGAACGCTGAGTGAGGACTGGCTTGGCAGTGAAGTGCCGCTGTGGCATATGGCACCAGAATCAGAGGAACACTGTCCAACTCTGTGATTTGTGTCTGTTTCCTGCCCCCACCCCCCCGGTTGCTGTCTTCCTGCTCCACTGCTGCGATGCCACCAAATGGGTCACCCGTAATGGATCCAGGGGGAGAAATAAGCATTTGACCATTAATGCAACTACTGTGAAGGAAATAAGAGACCGTTTAGCTGGGGGAAGAGGGCAGACACGGGCCTAGGCATGGGATAATGCTTGGAGCATTTTTGCTCTCCTGGTTGCATTCTGCAAATGCAGGCAGGGCAGTCGCCATCGATGTGAGCCTTGGAAGCTCACACCTGGAGGTATTAACTGTCATCTCGAGTCCTGCGTGGGGAGCAAGCTGGGCTAAGGCATTTGCCTACATTAGAAGCCAGTCTCTTCTCCAGTAGCTCCCTTTGGATCAGGCTCAGAGGATGACGACAAGTGGGCAGGGCCTTTTTGTTGGTAGCTCCTGATTATGCAATGAGGCAGCATTCCAGCAGGACCTTGGTAGAATGCTGTATCCAGCGGGGCTACCCTGACATCAGCTCCGTCCCCTTTTTATCACCAGGTTATGATGGGCCGTTATTCCTTGGCCTATGATGGGCTGTTGAATGCATCAGTCAAAGTATGTATGGCTGTGTTATGGGGTGGTTTTATTTTAGTGGAACTTAGTTGCAGCTTTTTAAAATGCCGTATGCGTCAGTCACCTCAGACCTGTCTTTGTGCAGGCCATCTGAGAGCATGACGAACATGATGTGCTAGTGATGGTGAGTCAGACCAGCGGCAGAACTCTGCTCCCAGCATCCCTCCACAGAGCAGCAAGGAGGCTGCGCAATTTTCCTAGGCAGAGGAGCAGAGCAGGCAGCTGTTGAATCAAGCCAGTAGTTCATCTACTCCCCATCAGACTCCTCTCCTTATCCAGCTGTGATCTTTTTGGGGTTTTTTTTTTACTTTCATCCTGGAAACCCATGCAGACTTTTCTGTGCATGTTTTCCAGATGTGTGCCTCACTTGTCCAGACTCTGAAAGGTGCGCATTCTTCCCCCATTAATCAAAGCCTCTTCATGTGCCTGCTTCAGATGCGTTAATTCATACGCATCTGTTGCTGTCGAGCACTTTCATTTTCTCTGCCCAACACAAGCTCAGACCACAGATGATTATTATTATTTATTTATTTGGACAACTTATATGCGGCCCCATTCGCGTAAGCCTCGGGGCGGCTTCCAATCACAGATTGAGCACATGTTCAGCCCAGGAGCTGCAAACTGGGTGGACCCTGGTCAAAAATGCACTGAAACAGATTCTCACCCGTCCCTGCCCTGGTAGCTTCCCCCGAAAAGCCAGCTGGTGCACCAGCCTTGGCTGAGCGGTCCGGTCGCTCATACTTCACGAATGTCTCTCTCCATCCATCCGGGCCCTTTCTCTGCAGACATTTTCGGTATGCAACCAGAGAAAGGAGGAGAGGTGCCAGTCCCGTGGTAGCACATTTTGACTATTTTGCATGCAGCTTGTTTTGGAGAAGGAATCCAAGGCGGCGGCAGCATCTCTGATGTGGGGGTGGGGGGGAATAGGAAAGACACCTGTAGGGCCCGCCAGAGCTTCCAGCAGTGAAGCAAGCAACCTTCTCTTCCTCCCTCCCTGCCTCCCCCGGCATGCGCTTCAGAGATCAAACGCGAGCCCTATCTCGGTGGAAGCAGGGCTGCCTGAGCGCCTGCTGTCAAGCCGACCGCAACGTTCCTGCGTCTCATATGGAAATCGGA